GGGGTTAAGGGGGGGGGGTATATTTGTTGACGATAAAAACGAATTCAAGATTATTGATAGTGTTTTTAAATTATTATTTGTTAAAATTAAATTAAACAATTAATGATTTCAATGAGAATTTAAACTCAGTTCTTAATCAAATTAGCACATATCCTTCGCTTAAAGCCTGCCAACTCATTATTTCTGGTGATATTAATATTGATCTCCTAAAAAGTGTCAACAAACTTCAAAATACTTTGATCTTTTACTAGAAAACAGTCTTTTCCATGTTATATCTAAACCAACCCGAATATCTCATTATAGCGCCACTTTGATTAATCATATTCTTGTTGAAGATTTAAATTCAAATTCGAAATCTGGAATATTTCTTTAACTTACTTCCTGCTTGGTAAAAGAAAGTGCATTTAATAATTTCAAAGATGAGAAAGTTCGGACTCGAGTCATACATGACAAAAGCAAGGAAAAGTTTAATAGTCTTTTAGGTTCTGAAAACTGGTCGGATATTTGAAATGAAAATCCTCCTGAAATAATATTTGCGCTATTTCTTAAAGATAGTTTCACTGTACTGTTGTGAGGAAGCGTTCCTGTTACCGAGAAAATTGAAACGATTAACAATTCTACGTTCTACCAGTGAATGAGCAGTGCACTGTTAAACTCTCGGGAAAGAAAACAAAACTTGTATACATGTAAGCGTATTCGTCCAACTTTACACAACATTCAGCTATTTAATAACTATTCAAACTCTTATAAATCACTCTGTAGAGCAGCTTCAACACAATATTACTCTTCTAAAATCGAAAAATTCAGAAATGATTCTAAAAAGACTTTGGAGGTTGTAAGACAGTAATAGAGGTTTTTGCCTCTGTGAAAGATAAATTTAATATTTCTATTTTTCTGCTAATGGAAGTATAAGGAAATTTTAAGATTGTACAGGGGTTTACATTTTTTTCGTGAAATTGGTACTAAATTAGCTGAAAACATTTCAAATTTCTCAAAATCTTATATACAGACTATTTAGGAAGAGAAATTGAAAACAATTTTGTCTTCAAAAGTATTACAATAGATGCAATTCTTGACATAGGAGGTAAACTCAAGACTAAGAACATTGTTGGTGAACAGCTGAAGGATGTTTTGCCATTATTAGCTGAAACAATTTTACATGTATTCAAAATGAGTTAAAAACAGCTTGTGTAATACCTATTTACAGATCTGACTCTGAATTTTCCCTTCAACAATTACAGGCCAAGAAGTCTTCTTCCAGCTTTAAGTAAACTTTTAGCGAAAATAGTTGGAAAGTAAATGTGTTGGTTTATTTAAAAAAATCTGATTTTGTAGGATTTACAGTTTGGATTTAGAAAGAACCATAATACGACTCAACCCTTTATTCATTTTCTAGGCAAGATTGATGCATTGAACAAAGAATTTAAATTGCAGTGTTTCTTGATCTAAAAAGGGCGTTGGGAGATTTCATAGAAAGACATGTCATAAATTTTCATAGATAAAACATCTTATAGAAAGACATTTCATAGATAAAACATCTTAAAGAAAGACATTTCATAGACGGACATTTCATAAGTAAGACATTTCATAGATAGGACACTTCAAAATAGGATATTTCATAGATAAGACATTTCGTACACAGAGAAGATTTTTTATTATGAAATTTTGTTTTCTTCGATTTTTCATAGAAGTTTGTTCGACTTGAACTTCAAGTTAGTTATGTATTCTTTTGTTAACAATAAACTTCCTTCTTGCTTTGAAAGTATATTTTTACAAAAATAACATTGTTTTATAGATTTGCAAAAAATCGTCCCCGCACAATCTTTCATCCTTTATTTTACCCAGTAAATGGAATTCCTTAACTCAAGATCTAAAAACTTTAACAAATAGAAATTCTCTAAAAAAATCCTCCAAGTGCCGACTACTTTAATTCCTATAAAAATATTTCTGGTAACAATATTGTGTGTCCTGATTGCCTGATTTCTTACCTTAATTCAATTTTTTGAATTCCCTCTTTTACTATCATAATTCTGTTTTCCAATTCCTCAACACTGAAAAATACAAAATGTAAATGTGATGAATAAATGGATTTCAAACAACTAGGCTTGGAACAAATTTTTAATAATTTTTAATACTAAACTAATTCTTGTATTTTAGTTCTTCACCGTTGTGAAAGATGAAAAATGACTACCATATCTTCTTTCAAACCGCAACGTTAGCTGCGCTGAGTTCACATTAAACATTAGCGTATAACACTCCCACTTTTCAGCAATTTAAACAATTTGACCTAAAAACATTCCCTATTCCTAGTTGCGCCTCAAATTTTTTATTGTAAAACGTCACCCTTACACCTTGATAAAAAAAAAACATTTATATGACAGATCTAATTTTCCCTAAATACCTGTTAAACATTTCTTTTTGATGCCGTTCCTTCTTTAACTGATTATATTCCTCTGTTGCTTTTTCTTGAAAAGAAAAATAATTTGAAAAAAATATTAATTGTTATGTTTTAATTGTTTATTCAGCGTCGCATTTAATAAACACTAACTGCAAGAATTTTTAGAACTAGGTATGTGAGTAGTTGGGACTAGGAGAAGTTCAACCAGCCAAACTCAGTTTGATCACTTTCCGTTATTAAGCAAATGCAACACAGTAACATAAAGTGAATAAGAGTAACCAGAAAAAAACGAACATTGGAAAAAATGATTATCTGCATTAAAAACATGTATCAATTACGAACCACTTAATAAACTGTAATTTGTAAATAAAAAATAAAAAATTACCAATTAATAAAACTTAATTATCCAGTTTTCCGAAAAATTGACTTGCCTAGCTTGTCCCTGCCAATGCTGAACAAGTTAGAAAGAACTTCTTGATTTATTTTCTTCTTTGCCACGTTGTTTCGTAACTCATCTGTCATTTTCTTAAATATAATGATATTTTGAAAAAAAAGGTTCGCGGATTTTCTTTTGGGCCATTGGAGTACCAAAAAAAATTACAAAAAAATCCATACAGGAGAATTGCACTAAAAAAGTACAATTTTTCTGTTGTTATTTTCACCAATAATAATAATACACCTACCTTCTCCTTAATGTGTTCTGTTCCAAGTCCGGGCCCCAGGACTTCAGAAAACTCCAGCAGGGTCAGCTGTAGTCTAATTTATCATTTTTTAAATTTATGTTTATATCTTATATATTACATACATAAAAGATGATTCGAGAAATTATATTTTTCTAAAGTTCAAAGTTATTCACCTCATTCTCATCTTTTCTCCACTGTATTATTCTTGGAAGTTTTAAAAAAAAATTTTATTAGATTTTTTTTTTATGAACAGTTTTAAACAACACAATGAAATTAACTCCCCCCCTCCCCCTTTTAACTAGAGAATATTGCACACACAAAAATCTTAAAAGTGTCCAATTGTAAAATTCTTTTTTTTATAAAAATTCACAATCTATAAAAATTTAAAAAATTTTATTATCTAAAAGAGGGACTTAAAAGCGTAATTTCAAGTGACCCTCCATGTATAGATGGCAATGTCCGATTTACAACGGTACCCTTAAAATCTTTATCTGATCAAGTATGAATTAGATATCCATGTTTTTTTTAACTGTCTATTTTGATTTTTGGTTTCTCTGCAAAGTGACTTGCGCCTTTCTAGCTTATAAGAAACAATTGAGAAATTACAAGAACTAAACTCTTTTTGAATCAGAAACTGACGTTATCTTCCGCATTTAAGATCTGCAGAAGGTTTCAAGAGTACAATTGGAAATCTTCCATTGCCGTCTTTGCTTCTTAAAGTTTCACCTCGCAGAATCAGTTTTATCCTTATTATCGTTAATCTGCTGCAACATTCGCTTTGGAGAATCTAAAAATACAGAAAATGCACCAAAATGAAGTTTTAATTAATCATGAAAAAAAATGTTTTCAGATAAACAATGATATTTTGAGTTTTTTGGAGGAAAAAAAAACCCAGCGTTAGCTGTTAAACGAGACTATTATTGCTAAGCTCTTTGCGATTAAGATTACAAAATGAAAAAAAAATTTAACTTTATGTCTTTAAAACTAATGGAAACAAAAATATTTTATAATACTATTGTTGTTTTAACATCTGAAATCACTATTTTTTTTTTAAACCTTCAACCTTTTTGATTTTCTTCAACCGATGTAAACATGCATTTACTTACATAGCAAACAAATGTATGTAAAAAAAGCGTGAAACCCAGCTGTTGAGGGCAAAAATATTCATCTAAAGAATATGATTTCATAGGTAGAATAAATTTTTAATCAGAAGAAATAAGAAAAGAAATAAGTAACATTTATTATTCTGATCGTTCGTGTCTTAAATAGATCACAACTGCTCGTTTAACCGCTACCACTGAGTTTTTTTCTCCAAGGTAATTGTTAGATAAGCCATGAGTTTTACATTTGGTTAAAATGTTTCGGTGTAATATGGACCAGAGTTCCAGCCATAATATTTGTTCCAAATGAATTCTACAATTTCCGAAACTTTAGATTGCAATGACGGAAATTAAAAAAAAATGGCCGGACATTTACTCAAAAGAAACCTTTGTTCCTATAAAAAGTGAATGTGGGAATAAGAAGCCGATATAGATTTTATAACTTTAACATATAAATATCGTATCGCAAACCCTCCCTTACCCCTTACCAATTTTTCTGGAACTCTCAAAGAGTTGTTGGATCACACTGTTTTTAGGTTCCTCAATATTATGGAGAACCTTAACAAAGAATTAAAATCACTATAAAATAAACAGTAGATGAAGCGAGTGAACAGTGGATAAAGAGAGTACACAAAGGAAAAGTAGAGTAAACAGTAGATAAATAGAGTAAACAAAGGGCAAGTAGAGTAAACAGTGGATAAAGATAGTAAACAAAGAGCAAGTAGAGTAAACAGTGGATAAAGATAGTAAACAAAGAGCAAGTAGAGTAAACAGTGGATAAAGAGAGTAAACAAAGGGCAAGTAGAGTAAACAGTGGATAAATAGAGTAAACAAAGAGCAAGTAGAGTAAACAGTGGATAAAGCAATAACACAAAAGCCTTATAATTGTCTAAACTAAAAGATTCGTAAACTTACCTTATACTGTCGTATAGCATAGTTCTGATAAAATCATATTTTTTCATTCATTGGATTTAATAATTGTGACGTTTTTGGTATTTAAAACAATTCAGTACTGCAAATAAACGCAATTGGGAATAATGAAACATTGTTGATTGTCGTCTTCCTTAAGAAATGTTTTAAAGCGAAAAATTTTACCTAAACAAAAAGATTTATTATTCCCTTTTCAGACAAAAATTGTATGTCCTTTCATAAAAGAAATATTGTATATACTTCGTAGAAAAAGTTATCCGAACCTTTTCATTTCTAAAAAAACAATTCGCAAAAAATTCACAAAAAAATGTATTTCCCTTGTTTCTTTCTTCTCGTTCAGCTCTCGTTTCCAAAGCCTGAAAGCAAAAATAGGGATACACATTTTCTATAAAAATCACCCCGCCCCTCAAAACTCGCACTTTATAAATTTCACAAAGTAAATTTGTATTGCTATTATTTGGAGAAAAATTAGTTCTCCCAAAAAAATAATTTCATTTTAGGGATAGAAGAAAAGTAAATGATAAGTTCCGATTTACTTTAAAAAAAAAAACTTAACTTTATATTTGATGTATTTACAATGGTTTTATTATTGGTTCCTTATTAAATCAATTATTAAGTAAAGCACAGTAGCTGTGTCTCATGTTTATTGGACTACAGTGCAAGGTTATAATGCAAGGAAGGTTATTCCAGAGGTGTATGCACCTTTGTACTGGAGTGTACTGTCTCTGGGGTGTAATGTAAACACAAGTCATAGGAAACTATTATGTGAATTATCAAAATGATCAAATTTTAATGCTTTTATAACCTCCTCGGATACTAAACGAACACTGATGCATCTATTCTTGTTTACAAATTCCGCTCCAGAGAGAACTAGTTTAAATACGTCGACAGAGTATACGCAACTCCAAATAAATTTCATTGAATTACAACCTTGCTACAGTGATAATCGGAAAAAAAGTCGTCTTCCTTGTCCAGAGTTTTCTGGTTATCACTGTATGTAAGTAAAGTCATCGTCTAAAAGTCGTCGTCCTATTCCAGAGTTTTCAGATTCACATGTTGCAAGTTTGTCAAAAGTTACTCTATCTGTAATGGAAGTTGCAAGGAATAATTCTAAAAACTCAAACATAACATGATATGATAAAAAAACAAGGCTAAATCGTTTACAGTGATAAAATAATCTGTATTGACTTTTCTAATATAACTGAGAACTCTTTGAAGAAGCTGTATCGCTATTTTTGATATTATAAAAGTTTTGTTTGATACTATCATAATCAGTAGACTTTTTTATTTTACTAATAAAAAGAATGATTGGGGGTGTTAAATAATCCAATCCTTTGTTTTAGTTTAACTATGATTTCCGAATCTTGACTTTGGCGGATTTTTTACTGAACTACTCAATATGATAATTATAGACAGGATCACAACAACAACAGCGCTGTAATTTGTGCATTATACTTCGTGTACTTTAGGTGTTTTATATAAGACAAATTTGTTTTGAAAATAATCTCCTTTAAAATTTCTAAAAATGCTGTGAATATTATACTGACCTGATGAGGTTCTAGATTGCTTGGGCATTTCATTTCAGGTAGCACAGATACAATTCTTTCAGTCAAACCAATTTTTCGACCAATCGACGCATTTTCCTGAGCAATTAAAAACTTAAAGGGACTGTCAACGCAATTTTAAGCAACCCTTCATTTTACACCAACACCTTGGAAACCTTAATCTGACTCGAAATGTGTTTATTATTTGATAATTTCTCCATTGTTTCTGTAACGTGCAAGTCACATTCTAGAGAATCACCAACTAAAAAATCCGTGTTAAAGAAATAAATATTGATATCTAATTCATACTTGATCAGACAAAGGACATTCCATTCTATCTCTTTGGAAGGGTCAATTGAAATTAACTTAACAGTCCCTTTAAGCGACATAATCATGCGCTATTAGAGGGAAAGGAGGAAAGCTTTCCTCTCAAACCTTTGATGGATATTTTATTTTCAACCAAGAAAAAAATTTACCAACAGGAAATGGGAGGGGGCTCACCCCTTCAACCCGTCTCATAACACCTTATGACATGAGTACGGAGATTATATATAAAATGGTTGATTGAAATACTTTGACATTAAAATTGATATACCGCCTTCATAAGACTGTCGGAAGTAAATTATTGAATGGAGTAATGTCCGATTCACAACGGTTTGGCTGCTCAAAGATGAATGAGATATACTTATTGTTCTCAATGAAAAGTATTCATTTTTAATTGCGGCCAATGAAAACAAATCAATTGCAGATATATGCAGCAGAGGCAATGGAGGAAATTGAGAGAAATTATATATTTTAGAAAGGAAAAAACGACGATAAAAATTCCTTATTGTTAATCCCATACAGGGTTAAAAAGACCACAGGGTACCATTTAGAATCGAGCGTATAACACTTAAAATTTTAGGCACTTGAAATTAGGTCTTCTCTCAGGACTCGAGAGTATCAATATGGAGGGGGGGGGGGGGGGGGGCAAAACAGCATCAGTCCCCCTTATGTTTAAAGGAAATATATAGTTCCTACTTGATAGAAAAGATCAACATCTATATCTACAGAACAGTTTTGGATACACCAGGTCATTCCACCAACAACCTGTAATCAAAAATAATATTTTTTCTTTAAATATAAGAATACTAGGCTTCCATTCAATTTCAATTGTGAACATTTTCTCTTTGTATACATTGTAAAACAATAACAAAAAAGTTCGCAGATTTTATTAAACAAATTTGTGAATTTTTAAAATTTAATGAAAATCGAATTTTGTTGGAGGCCAACTTTTGAATGACATCAAAGCCCAGCATTTTAGCCACGCCAGTTTATTTATCTTTTTTTTTAAAAATTTTGTGGCTTGAAAAAAGCGTCATTTTTTAGTACTCTGTGTAGATACTAGAATAAAGATGAGAAATAAGAAATGTAATTTCAAATTTTAAAACCGGAATTTTTTTTCTTCTTTACCTTGTCAAAGGCTGTAAGCCCTGATATTCTGGCTCTAAAGTATCCTGCGGCAACCAATAGATCACAAATCGCCTGCAGGTATATTAGGGTTTCCAGTCGTAATTACGTTACGCGTAACACTTTCTTTCATTCACGCAGGAGCATTACGCGTAATTACGCGTTTATTACGTTATCGAAAGAAAGTCTAGTTTCGCGTAATTAATGCGTAATTACGTGAAATTAAAATGGTTAATAGAAATGGTTAATAACTTATTTGAGCTACAGGGCTAAAACTTGTATATTTGAAAAGCCCTTTAAAAATGAATATAATGACATGTGTCACATGTTAATTTATATTTTAAGAAAAGATTATTTCCCAATGACAACTAACTATGACACAACTGCCATGGACAGCCTTTGTTTGTTTGTATACACTAAACGTCAAAACGGCTGAACAATTCCGTAATCTATATATAAATTTGGCTTGTCTGTCAGTTTGGGTGTCTGTTTGTTTGTATCCAATAAACGTCAAAACGGCTGAACTGATCGGGCCCAAATTTTTTGTGGGACCTCACGTAAAAAATAAAAATGATAAAAAATAAAAAATGTGTTTTAAAGGTTTTTAATTATGTTTAAAAAAAATTAAATTCTTTAAAATCCGCAAATTTTTTTTTTAAATTCGCAAATTTTTTTTTCCTGCTTGAAAATGTAAACAAAAAGAACATGTTCACAATTTAAATAGATGATGGGCGCGAAGCGCCCTAAAAGCCTAGTCTATCTATATATTTAAATTTGGCTTGTCTGTCTGTTTATTTGTATCCAATAAACGTCAAAACGGCTGAACCGATCGGGCCCAATTTTTTTGTGGGACATCACGTGATCACAGGGAAGGTTTGTGAATGATAAAAATTTTAAAAAATGTGTTTTAAACGTTTCTAATTTTGTAAAAAAATTTAAATTCTTGAAAATCATGCGAACTGTTTTTTTAACGCAAAATTTTTTCTTCTATGTTTTAAAATGTAAACAAAAAAGAACATGTTCACAATTTTAATAGAAGATGGGCGCGAAGCGCCTTAATAGCATAGTAAGAAGGGCGCGAAGCGCATTGAATTTCTAGTACATATTAATTCTCAGAGATAATTATAGCGGGAAAGTATGTGTAAGGATATGCCCGCTACAACCATGTCAAACACATTTTGACGATTTTATTGACATTTTTTTCAAACAAGGTGGAGGAAGGTAAACTTGAGAAAGTAGGTTGAAATATTAACAAGTCGTCGAAAATTGAAAATTGCATACATGTAATTATTGCAAAATTTCGAAAAAATTACTTTGTAGAAATTTCGCGAAATTGAAGTTTCGCTAATTACGCGTAATTAATACAAAATTTCGCGAAATTACCTCGTAAAAATTACGCAAAATTACGCCGTAATTATCGTTTCGCTTATTACGCGTAATCATTACAAAAGTTCGCGAAATTACGTTGTAGAAATTACGCGAAATTACGCCGTAATTTCGCGAAATGAAAATTACTAAGCGTAACTGCACGTAATTAAGCGTAAGAGAAAAATCTATTACATTGGAAACCCTAGATAAGATATACAGATAGATATGTTGATATTTAGTTAACTGCAATATTAACAAATTTCCTAATATATCTCCGTCAATTATAAAGTTGTAAAATGGTAGACCGCATTTTGGAAATCCCACGACTATTAGTTTTCGGTGTTAAATGGTTTAAGTGTGATACTACAAAAGTATATTTACGCAATAATCCCGCTTGGAACAAAGATGATATAGACGTCCTCATTTAATTCCCATGTTTATTAGGACACACTGTATGTTTGCGCGAAGCGCCACAATTTAAGTGGTAAAAAATTGGGGGAAAGTGACTATTTCATTAGGGGATATTAGAGGATAATGGATAAACTTTTGGATAAAAAGTTTCAAAAGGAGTAATAAAAACTTCCAGTTAATGTTACATTTTTTTATCCATATCATTATAATAATCAAACTTTAAATCACATACCTGAAGTTTTAACTTTTGATCCGCATCTAGTTCTTCACTTCCTTCCATCCTTTCTTTCAAAAAATACCAAAATTTTCTTTAGACAATAGAAATGAATATACCGAAATGTGCGAATATATAAGGCCATAATTGAATACTTTCCTAATTTGGTTTGCTTTCTCACGAAAGCAATTTTGTTGATTCCTTCAACCCTATCCCGTTTGGGGGGGGGAGGGGGTTTCCACCCCCCGTGTTTTCATAATAAAATAGTTACAAACAAATTTTGCTAAAATTTTTTTTTTGATTCATAGGGCAGGGTGGAGGAAGGTCAAACGGCGGGTTGGCGTTTCAAAAAAAATAGAAATGGTTAATAACTTATTTGAGCTACAGGGCTAAAACTTATATATTTGAAAAGCCCTTTAAAAATGGATATAATGACATGTGTCACATGTTAATTTATATTTTAAGAAAAGATTATTTCCCAATGACAACTAACTATGACACAACTGCTGGACAGCCTTTGTTTGTTTGTTTGTATACACTAAACGTCAAAACGGCTGAACCGATCGGGACCAAATTTTGTGTGGGACCCTGCATGACCCCAGGGAAATGTTTATAGATGCTCAAAATTACAAAAGCTTTATGTTTTAGTGAAATTTCAAAATCCGCGAAAAAATATTTGAAAATCCGCGAACTTTTTTTGTTGTTATTGTTTTATACTGTATTAATTGAAGATGCTCACAGATAGAGCCACAGTTAAAAGTTAATATGGAGGATCATAAATAGAGGATTAAGCCTAGTCTGTAATGTTTAAATATATAATGTCAAACTTTAAATATAACTATCGTTCTGAAAACTTAAAATATATAAATTCGATAATATTTTGTGGTCAACTTTAAGTGCTTATCATTTAAAGCAAATTTATGAAAATCTAAAAACTTCAAATATTTAACAAAATAAACTAAAATAAAAAATAAGATTTTCTTGTCTGTTTGTTTGTTTGTCCGTTGGTATTACATGACCCCAGGGAAGGTTAGTGGAGCATCATAATGGGGGAAGAAATTTTGGAAAATAGTTAAAATTTTTCTTCTTTTTGAAAATGCGCCAATTCAAAACAAAGAACCGCCAAAATTTGAAATGATTTAAAATGGCCGACAGAGCAATGTACTATTACTCCGTTAAAATTATTTACAAGTCCAGTAAAATATAAAACCTGGGCCAATTTTGCTTTTACTTCCCCTTTTGTAGAAATTATTTGAAGATTTTATTCCTTAATGGGACATTATTTTTAATTATTAAAAATATATAACTCAAAATTCCAATATGCCTAATGCATTTCTTTATCTCCAAAAATACTAAATACTGATTACTAACCCTTTCAGATGAAAAAAAAAATTTATCTTGATAATCTCAATTAAACATAACATCTGAATTACAAAATATAATACATAAATAAATGACCATTTAACAAGATAAAGTAAACTCGCAAGTTTAAAGTCAAAAAAAGTGTTAAATTTTGAACTGGTTGAGACAAAAAATTGTATTGTAGGGTCAATAAGATGGTTCACTTTTTAAGTACTTTTAATGGGTTTTGAAACTTTAAGACACCACAACAATCTCAGAAGGTTCCAACTTTGCAAAAACTATTTTTTTATTTTTGGAAAGGAATTGAGTCTTTGCCACAAACTCTGATTTTCTAATCACTATATCTTTGGAACAAAATGTTGCAGACCTTAGATATTTCAAACTATGAATTCTGTTAGATCAAGTAATCTGAGTTTGAAATAACAAAGGTTTACAACATCGAGTTCTAAAGATATTGTGGTTTAAATATTTGATGTTGTTCCAAAGACTCAATTCCTTTATACCCAAAGAGATATTATAAGAAGAAGAAAAAAATTAGTTAAAAACTAAAAAATATGTAAAACTTGCAATAAAATTTAATAAAAAAATATAAATCTAACACATATGTATATAAACATGCGTTGAAAGGTTTAAAAAAAGTAAATGATAACGCATTTTCTAATCTTGCATCTATAAATCCGAAGCAGATTTTGACAACTGTTTAAGATAATAAAAAGATGACATTCGATGAAGAAAATTGTTCATATTTTGACTTGTCGTATTCCCAATATCCAGGAATCTAAGTGTACTTCCACAAAGCTGTAGTATCTCCAGCAGTCCTTTGTTTGTAAGTTGTTCACAATATCTCATGTTCAGGTTCTCTAAACAAGGCAGGGTTCCCATGTATTCAGACAGATTCTCTCCAACTATATTATATCCAGGGAACTAAGTGTACTTACACAAAGCTGTAGTATCTTCAGCAGTCCTTTGTTTGTAAGTTGTCTACAGTATCTCATGTTCAGTTTCTCTAAACAAGGCAGGGTTCCCTTATATTCAGACAGATTCTCTCCAGTTATATTTGTACTTGATATATCCAGGGATCTAAGTGTACTTCCACAAAGCTGAAGTATTTGTAGTAATCCTTTGTTTGTAAGTTGTTCACAGATACTCATGTTCAGGTTCTCTAAACAAGGCAGGGTTCTCTTGTATTCAGACAAATTCTCTCCAGTTATATTTGTTCCTGATATATCCAGGGATCTAAGTGTACTTCCACAAAGCTGTAGTATCTGCAGAAGTCCTTTGTTTGTGAGTTTATTACAGTCACTCATGTCCAGGTTCTCTAAACAAGGCAGGGTTCCCTTGTATTCAGACAGATTGTCTCCAGTTACATTTGTTCCTGATGTATCCAGGGATCTAAGTGTACTTCCACAAAGCTGTAGTATCTGCAATAGTCCTTTGTGTGTGAGTTGATTACAGCCCCACAGGTCCAGGTTCTCTAAACAAGGCAGGGTTCCCTTGTATTCAGACAGATTCTCTCCAGTTATATTTGTACTTGATATATCCAGGGATCTTGGTGTACTTCCACAAAGCTGTAGTATCTGAAGTAGTCCTTTGTTTGTGAGTTGTTTACAGATACTCATGTTCAGGTTCTCTAAAATAAGCAGGGTTCCCTTGTATTCAGACAGATTTTCTCCAGCTATATGTGTTCCCTCTATATCCAGGGATCTAAGTGTGCTTCCACAAAGCTGTAGCATCTGCAGAAGTCCTTTATTAGTAAGTTGTTCACAGTATCTCATGTTCAGGTTCTCTAAACAATGAATAGTTCCCTTGTATTCAGAAAGATTTTCTCCTGTTACTTCTGTTCCTGATATATCCAGGAATCTAAGTGTACTTCCACAAAGCTGAAGTATCTGCAGAAGTCCTTTATTTGTGAGTTGATTACATTCACTCATGTTCAGGTTCTCTAAACAAGAAAGGGTTCCCTTGTATTCAGACAGATTTTCTCCCATTACTTTTATTCCTGATATATCCAGGGATCTAAGTGTACTTTCATAAAGCTGAAGTATCAGTAGCAGTCCTTTATCCGTGAGTTGTTCACAGCCTCTTAATTTCAGGTTCTCTAAACAAGGCAGGGTTCCCTTGTATTTAATCAATATTTCACCAGTAATATTCGAATTCTCCAAGGTCAGAGTTTTAAGGGTACTCCCACACTGTTCCAATATTTGTAGAAACCAGTCATTATTCAGACCCTCATTCAGAGTTTTATTACAAGTCAGCTGTAGAGTTTGGAGTTGTTTTGAAACTATGTTGACATTTATTCCAGAAATAAATTCAATGCTTCTTTCTATAATCAAGGTAGACAAGGATGGAAGGGAGAATATTTCATTCAATCCAGTTGAAGGCAATTTACTATTTTGCCAGGATTCTTTTCCAAGTTGAAACATGAGAATTTCAGGATGTTTCTTCACAAGATACTCAACACCATCATCTCTAGCATCTTCTGCTTCAAATCCTGGAAATATGAAATAGAAAGTAATTTATTTATAAAAATATAACAAAAACACAAAATTAGATGTTTTAGAAGGAGATATTTATAAACATCTAATAACAGAGGTTGTGGGAATGAGTCCCCCCAATTCTAATAGAGTCTCATTTTAAATTAAATGCTGGTGGATTATTTACATCTTTCAACAATAAACGTACAGCTATTAGCTAATTAAAATGTGAATTGTAGATTTTTACAAATATTGAAAAATTGGTAAATTAATTAGCATTTTTTAGCAATTAGGGTGGTGGGCAAAATTTAAACTGTAAATTCAGAACATTTGACATCTTGGATATCAGGCATAAATAGGGCTGGGCAACTTCCATTAATGTGACGGAGGTTTTAGAAAACTAACGGAAGAGTCTGCTAACGAACGGCAAACACCGTTAATTTTTAAATCTTTAACAAAACTAATTAGCCATTTTTTCCAAATAACATTTGAAACAAACAGAAAACTGATGTGTTTTAAAAAATGGCGAATTTCGTTCTTTTTTCCGCTCAAAATTGCATGAAACTTATGAAAAAAAAATTTTAAACTGAATTTTTAGGTTGTTGAATGTCTTCTTTTGTTTCTTTTGAAATGCACAGACTGGCCTTTTACTGTCCCGTAGCCTACCCTATGCATGTTTAGGGTTAAAAAATTTTAATAAAACTTACAACATTACAAAATTGTTTTTTTTTGTTTGGGTTCAAAACGTTGCAATATTTTTTCTGAATTCTAAATTCGACATAATATAAGGAAAACAATTGTTTAGCATAAAAACATTTTGGAATTAGTAAAACTTCAAATTTTTTGGAACCATTTTATAAAAGTTTGAAAAACGAAACAAGTTAATTGTCATTATTTGGAAAATGCGCTATTCATGCATGGTTCAGAAACAAACGGCTGATGGTTTGAAAATATGGCAAATTATTCAAGGATTATCTTTTTCATAAATAGCTTACAAACGATGTCATTTAGTGAATTGGCCAACCTATGAATTTTGAATATTTTGGAGTATTAGCAAACCATTACCGCCGTTAATACTACAAAAAACTGTTAACGGCTTGCGCCGTTATTAATTTTAAAAATCGATAGCGAGTTTTTTTGGCACTTCACTCAACTTCTAATAAAAAATTTTAAAATTGAAGAAAAAACCGTTGTTGAAATATTTCCATTTATGCAGTTAATAAAATTGAGTTAATGGCAACTAAATAAACGGAAAATACCTTTAACTAAACCAAATTTAAAATTAACGGCTATACATGAAATTCCTTTTTTTAACGGTTCCAACTAATGAAACGGCTAAAAAAATTTGACCGAGTCCAGTCCTAGGCATACATATGAGATACCTTAAATGTGCACACTACACATTCAGTCCAATGACCTTGTAAGTACTGCCTTATCTTAACTTCTAACAAAACTAGCATTAAAAACATGTTTCTAAAAATCATATTTTAAATTATTGGTGTTTTATGCCAAAAATAGTAAAAACAGTTTTAAAACAAAAAAATCAACTTGAGTCATGTTTTAAAAATGCGCAAAAAAATATTCGAAAATCCGTGAACTTTTTGTTTTGTTTTATTTTGTACAAAGAGAAGATGCTCACAGATAAAGCCACAATTAAAAGTTAAAATAAAAGATGGACGCAAAGCTTCCTTTAAGTCTAGTAAACTAATATCTCCAATGTTTTTCACTCTTCACTCTTCAGTTAAAGATTTGAAAAGTGTGAAAGCTGAGTTCTGGGGGGATTGTGGGCCCCACTTTACAGGTCTAGGTGGGGAACACTGCCCCCTCCTGGGTACGCCCTTGGAACTTAAAAACAGGTAAAATATATTTATTTCAATGTATCAATTACCTAAAACTGTTTCAACTTCATCAGCAAACTTGATGAGCTGATCTGTTGTAAACTCGGTAGAAAACCTCCAGTAATGAACAAGTTTTTCCCCACATCCTTCAACCCTGTTCTTGAGAGTAGAGGACACTCCCCTCAGCATCTTCTTACTTCTGTAATCCAGGAACTGCAAAATATTAATGTTAATTTAGGATTATCATAATTTTGGAAGAAAAAGAAATATATTTGACAATCTAAAAAATAAGAATATCTCTGACATCATCATAGATGTCACTTTAAAAATGAAGGCCTCCAGAAAACTATGCCTACAGTCCCTTTAAATCAATCAAAGTTTGAAAAGTCTGTACCTGAAGAATATGCCTGATTATTTCAGGACACATATTGTCCAGTGTTAGTACACTCAACAGAGGGAGAAGAGAAGTAATAATTCTTCCATTATCTCTGATTCCTTTAGGTTTACACCTACTAGCTATCCCCTCTTCTTTATCCATGGTTGTCCTGAAGTAATAACATATTTATTTATTTATTACAAAGAGCACTTTCTTTTTGGCTCACATTCTTTTTAATGTAACTTTTGTTTCTACCATGTGCAATAAAAAGAAGAATATAAATTATTTGTAAGAATTTGCACCTCTATTTCTTAAGAGTTAAGCATTATTCAAAAATCTTCAAGTTTGCTTTGGTATTTAACAATTTAATTTGCAGAGCATTATGCAAAAATGCACAAGTTAGCTATGATATTCCGCAAACTTTTTGTTGCATTTAGTGCAAAAATTGATTTTTCGGAAACAAACACAAAAAATGAGAAATTCCAAAAAAAAAATCCAAGCATATTTAAAGTTGAAGCTGTAACAAAATTTTGCTAAAAAACTTTAACTGCGAGGAAATCTGTTTTCATGCAGTTTGTACTCGGATTTGCGTCAATTTGAACATTTTTTACACACATTTTCTAAGTGCAATATTTGCGCATTTTTTTTTCGTAGAATTAAATCATTATATAATTTTGTTCGCGGAATTTAAACATTTTTTATCCCAGAATTTCACAAAAAAAAAGCGGAAATTTGCGCGGTTTTTTACAACAGGAATGCACAAAAATGCAGAATATGCGGTGGAACAAAAAATATTTGTGCATAATGCAGTTTTTTGCAAAACATTTTGTTTTATTTGACAGAAAACAATACTTCAAGAATAATATCAAAGTTTAACAAATAAGGAAAGTACATTGAAATAAAACTTACGTAACTTTGTGATCTGGGAAATACTATAATGTACACAAATTTATTATTTTACCAGTTAAACCATTTTTGTCTGAAATAAAAAATATTTGTAATAAATAAAATTATAGGTTAAAAAATATACAAAGCATTTATTTTTTGCGTCAATCAAATATTAAAACATTTTTAATGTTTAATAATGGAGCCTCAAACAAAATAAAAAATAACTAATAAAAATATATTCTAATGTGACTGCATTCAGACAGATTCTCTTCAGTTGTATTCGTATTTGATCTGAGTGTTTAGTCAACACAGTTGAAGCAACTGCAATAATCCATTGTCTGCGAGTTGTTCACAGGAAATCAATTCCAGGTTCTCTAAACAAGGCAGGGTTCCCATGTATTCAGACAATATTTTACCAATAATGATCGAATTATTCAAGATCTGGGATTTAAGGGGCAAAACATCAAATCAAAACCAGCTAAAAAAAGAACTGTTAACTAATAAGGTGATTGTTAAAAACTTTCTAAACTTTGAATCGTTTATTGAGGTTTAGCATAAAAAAGGACATTTAATAAAAGATTAAATAAAAGATTTAATAAAAGATTAAATCTTGAATGTTCATAAATTCTTCATGCGCAACAAAATGAAATTAAAATACCCCTTCAAATACTTTTCATTTTTCCAGTTTATATACTGAGCCAGGATCTTCATCCGTTTAAACCTTTTCTTTTATAAAAAAAGAAATTGACTTGAATCTTCTATGATTTAAATGTCTAATTTTCTGTTTTCCAACTCCAAATTTTACATTTAGGATTTCCAGCGAACGAAAACTTTCGCGAAAAAATGCAAAATTTCGCGAAAAATTACTTAAGTAAATTGAAAACTTTATGGCAAAAATGAATTTTTCGAAACGAAGCGAAAACGATGCGGAATTTTGTGAGAAAAAAATATGCGACAACTTTAATTTTCGCGAAACAAATTTCACATTTCAATTGAAACTATTATTAATTTATTATTATGTATCTCATAAATTTCGTTTGCCGAGAGATATTCTAACAAGCTCGTCTTGAAGTATAGAATCAGAGATCTCAGTTTTAAGTTCCTCGGCAACTATTGGAACACTAGACATCTCATTATCATCCTAAACATTTCAAATCAATCAATCAATCAACAAATCAACCAATCAATCAATCAATCAATTAATAAATTCAAACAAACAGTTGCAAATTGTTCTTTAATTTTATTCAGGAATTTTATTATATCAACTCATTAAATTGTTTATTGTATGTCCATTTTCCAAAAAATATTCCAGAAAAAAAAATTAATAATTTTTTTGTTCTTCATTAAGTTTTTAGCGATAAAACCACTCAAATTTTGAAGGCTCCTTAAAAGGACTGAAAGTCTGTAGGATATAATACCTCTAGACAATGCAGTAGATTATCGACCTGTAGGATATAATACCTCTAGACAATGAAGTAGATTATCGACCTGTAGGATATAATACCTCTAGACAATGAAGTAGATTATCGTTCTCGTATGTTGGGAAGAAAAATTGAGGTTGGTTCCAGTCTCCAGGTTGTGGAGTATAATGATTACTCCAATTAAGATGCTCCAACATCAAATCCCGGGTAGGGAATACCTCGCTACATCCTAACAAATCAAAATATCCTTATTAAGAGAATAGATGACAATTTTCCCGAATGTAACCCCCCCCCCCCTCGGCGATAAAAAAACATTTACGAGGAAAAGCGTAATTTTGAAATGGTCCACCATTTTTGTTTTTGTTTCATTTGTGGTTTCTGCGCAAAGTGACTTGCGCATACAGTGCTCATCAAAGACCAATCAAGCTAGAAACACGACGTTACTTTCTGCATTATTGAGCAGATTAAGGTTTCAAGGGTTACTTTAGTCTACAACAAGTCCTTTTACAATGAAGTGTTTAAAGCATTTAGATATAAGATCACATTCCTTTCTTTAAGTTCTTAAATTTTTATAATTCTAGGATACGCTGTGGAAGGGTGAGTCAATTTGACTTCCCCCCTCTAAATCCCATGCTTGATGTTCAAATTTGACAAATCATCATTGAAAAGTTCTTATGCTCTACTTTAAGAATCTGCCCAAAAAATTAAAAATTTGCTAAAAAAATTTTTTTTTTTGCAAAATCCAGTTAAAGAGTAAAAATGTTTGCATAAAAAACTGTCATAAAAATGATGAAATATACATCTTTGAAAAGCCCTTGACCATGACATTTCAAATATGCAAAACTTTTTGCTCAATTTTAAATAACCTGATGTGTAATTAAGAAAAATTAAAAATGTGCAAATTTATTTTGACGGGTTGTATGTAAATAATTAGCAAAAATTTCTTTGCAAAACTTGTGCAATCCGTTTCCTTATGTCAAGGTCTTTTAAAAAGCTAAAAGTTATCAAAATCTGAGAACTGAAAGTGGGCCAAAACAAAGATTTGTTTGTTACAGGAAAAAGTAGTCATTCAGGCAGTGTGACTGAGGACTCAGGCAATGAGTGTAAAAGCCCAGTTTTAGACCTAAAGGGAGGGCTATGTGAATTTAGGAAAAAGTCAGAAAATTTCAACAGCCTCAGACAGATGAGATTCCGAGATAAAGCAAAAATGAAGAAAAAATAACTAACTTGAAAAAAAATTGAATGAAAAATCGAAAAAAACAATGAATGCCCTACCTATACATGTGTTTAAATGAACACATCTTCTGATATAATTAATCATCTTTACTTGCTGGTAGAAATCCAATTTAAGATCCTGACAGAAAATATTATTCCACAATTAAACAAAATTAAATTAGTTTAACACTTTTGAAAATAAATTCAATTATGAAATTGACAATGCTTGTTTCTGAATTGCAGTGCCACAAAGATAAAGATTGCCGCTTGTAAATTAATACAATTTAACCCAGTAATTCGGAGTATTAAACGAATTTATAAAATGTCGTATTCTTTACATACTGAAGATGGAATGCTGCAGATATATGAATGCGTCGAAAAATAATCGATGACTATTGTTTGTAATATCTGAATGATTTGTTTGGAATTAAATTGATTATTTTACGATCTGAGTTGAATTTGTATGGAGGCTACGTTCCTCAGCATGAGTAGTTTTTAACAATTTTCTCCTTATAGATACAACAGATAGAAGAAAGATTAGTAGAGATCAAAAGCGATTATTTTTCGCCGTAAGCCTATACGCCCTTTCATTTTTCGCAAACACTCTCTTTAAGCAAAATGCACTTATAACCATAAAAAAATGTAATACAGGGTGTCCTACATCATATTGGATCGTTAATGCAGGGTGTCCCACATCATATTGGATCGCTAATACAGGGTTTCCGACATCATATTGGATCGTTGATACTGGATGTCTCACATCATATTGAACCGTTAATACAGGGTGTCCCACATCATATTGGATCGTTAATACAGGGTGTCCCACATCATTTTGGATCGTTAATGGCTCTAAATTAAGATTTTCGGGACTAATCCGAAAATTTGAGAAGAACCATTGTAAAAAATTGTATAAGGCTAATATAAAATTTGCTGGCAGAAAATGCCAGGTTTTTCGAGTATTTTCTGCGTATTTTGGCGTTAATGCTTGGAGATAATCCAATAAGATATAGGAAACTCTGTTCATGAGGCTGGAAGTTCTCCGAAAGCGTACTGTATACTGTTATACTGTAGGGTTTACACTTTATATAAGGTCTGAAATCAAGAACCTTATTTTTACATGGTTTATTTATAGAAAAAACATTAAAATACTTTCTAAAAGAAATGAACAAATTTTAATAAATAATATTTTCCTGTTTAATTTGAGTAAAATTAAATCCATGAACCTCCTCCATATGAAGGAACAGATCCTAAAAACCAAATTTATCAATAACAAAATTAAGAAATTTAACACTCCAGTTAGGAGTACGAGTAGGGCGTGGATGCACAAGGGTTTCGAAGGGGGAGCCGAAATATCTTTAAAATTAATAGAATTTGACAAAGAAAAAAAGGGTTTGTTAAAAAAATCAGTGTGAAAATATCTTCATTTCCCGAAAAATTGACGTTTGAAAATATTTATTTAGATAAAAAAATCGAAATATTTTGTTTTCGCCCCAATTGGACTTGTGGAAATGCAAATAACGCTTAAATAACGTTTTCTGCCGAACCTGGCCATGATGCTTTTGTTTTCATATGACGATTTGAAGCTTGTTTTTTAAGTTTCGAACTCAATTGAGTATTTTGATGGTTTACTGAAAGATTGAGCACATGAATAAGCCATTTTTGGCCTACAAAGAACCCTAAATGCAAGAAACTTTCTTGAAGAAAGTGAAATTAAGAAGTTCCGTACAATCGTCTCTGAAGTCTCATCCTGTGTGGGTATCCCTCTATACATGCTCTATTGCAGTGTGTTAAATGAAAGTAATATGCAAATAAAAGAACAAGAAAATAAATCAACAAAAAAAACTTAAATTGCCACTTGAAAAGATTGTTAACTTTTATATTATTGATGAATATTGTTCCTGGTTCTGATTGTAGCTGGCCGGGCAGAACAAGCAGATGACCCGGCCTACATTATCCTTCCAATCACTCCACTCGTAGTTATCATCCTGGTACAATTATATTTTATTTGAGCTCTTTTTCAAAATTAGCCAAACCAAATCTACCAAATTAGCCAAATCTACCTGTACTGAAATCTACCTGTACTCATATCTACCTGTACTCAAATCTACCTGTACTCAAATCTACCTGTACTAAAAACTACCTGTACTCAAATCTACCTGTACTCAAATCTACCTGTACCCAACTACACCTGTTCTTAAATCTACCTGAACTCAAATCTACCGTACTCAAATCTACCTGTGCTCAACTACACTTGTACTTAAATCTACCTGAACTAAAATTTACCTGTACTCAAATTTACTTGTAATTAAAGCTACCTGTACTTAAATCTACCTGTACTCAAATCTACATGTGTTCAACTACAACTGTACTTAAATCTACTTGAACTCAAATCTACCTGTACTCTAATCTACCTTTCCTCAAATCTACCTCTATTCAAATCTACCTGTATTCTAATCTACCTATGATAAAATACACCTGCAATTAAATCTACCTGAACTCAGATCTACCTGAACTCAAATCTACCTGTACTCAAATCTACCTGAACTCAAATCTACCTGTACTCAAATCTACCTGTACTCAAATCTACCTGAACTCAAATCTACTTGAACTGAAATCTACATGTACTAACATCTAAATGTTCTCTAATCTACCTACACTCAAATCTACCTGTACTCAAATCTACCTGTACTCAAATTTACCTGAACTAAAATCTACCTGTACTCAAATCTACCTGTATTCAAATCTACCTGCACTCAAATCTACCTATACTTAAATCTACATGTACTCAAATCTACCTATACTCAAATTTACGTAATCAAATCTACCTGTACTCAAATTTACGTAATCAAATCTAACTGTACTCTAATCTACCTAAACTTAAATCTACCTGTTCTCAAATTTACGTTATCAAATCTACCTGAACTCAAATCTACCTGAACTCAAATCCACCTGTACTCAAATCTACCTGTACTCAAATCTACCAGAACTCAAATCTTCCTGAACTGAAATCTACCTGTACTAAAATCTAAATATTCTCTAATCTACCTACACTCAAATCTACCTGTACTCAAATCTACCTTTACTCAAATCTACCTGAACTCAAATCTACCTGTACTCAAATCTACCTGTATTTAAATCTACCTGAACTCAAACCTAACTGTATTCAAATCTACCTGTACTCTAATCTACCTATACTCAAATCTACCTGTACTCAAATCTACCTGTACTCAAATCTACCTATACTCAAATTTACGTAATCAAATCTACCTGTACTCAAATTTACGTAATCAAATCTACCTGTACTCTAATCTACCTAAACTTAAATCTACCTGTTCTCAAATTTACGTTATCAAATCTCCCTGTACTCTAATCTACCTGTACTCTAATCTACCTGTACTCAAATCTACCTGCACTCAAATCTACCTATACTCAAATTTACGTAATCAAATCTACCTGTGATCTAATCTAGCTGTACTCTAATCTATCTGTACTCTAATCTACCTGTACTCTAATCTACCTATACTCAAATCTACCTGTACTCAAATTTACGTAATCAAATCTACCTGTACTCAAATTTACGTAATCAAATCTACCTATACTCAAATCTACCTGTACTTAAATTTACGTAATCAAATCTACCTATATTCAAATCTACCTCTACTCAAATTTACGTAATCAAATCTGTACCTGATCAACATCGAACCCTGAGACAATTTCCTCCTCTCCCCCCTCCCTAGAGATATCCTCCCAGTTCTTACCAAACTCAAGATAGTTCACTAATAAAACCAAACTTTCGATTTTATTTTACGACGAAAACAATATGATTATTTATTATCTTCCGTAAAAGAGGGTAAATTATGTTTATTTCAGGGGTATATATTTTCTTCGAAATTCGGGAATAATCATTTTTGGGTGAAAATAAAAAAAATTTTGGATAAAAAGAATCAAAAAGACTGAAATAACTTACTTTTCGGTGTCCACTTGTTCATTTTCCCCCAAAGATCTTCGAAATTCTTACACCCCTCTTAGATTCCCAGAGAAATGTCATTCGATTATTATAGACGATAAACAGTAACACACATGAAGAATAAACAAATATGATTTTTATAAAGGAAAACTTTTTGAAAAAGCACAGTTTAAACCGAAGAACCGAATTAATTAATCAAGACATAAGTTAAGGGTATTAAGTATCAAAAAGGTGGAAAAAGTTGGCATGCAGAAGATATCGAATTTNAGCGCAGACAAGAAAATTATTCTATCGGTGGCATGGCTGTGCAGTTTTTTTATAATTTATTTTGCTGAATCGCGGAAATAAATGATTTTTCAGGGAAAAGAAATGATTTTTTGGGTAAAAAGTATGAAAAAGTATGAAAAAGTATGAAAAAGAATGAAAAAGAATGAAAAAGTATGAAAAAGTGTGAAAAAGAGTGAAAAAGAATGAAAAAGTATGAAAAAGTATGAAAAAGAATGAAAAAGAATGAAAAAGTATAAAATAGAGTGAAAAAGAATGAAAAAGTATAAAAAAAGAATAAAAAAACTTTTACTTCGATGTCCCATTTTTCATTTTCTTCCCCAATTCATCAAAAATCAGAATTCTGAAAAATAAACACCCCTGATAATTTCTTGACAAGAATTTTACAAAAAAAATGTGAAAGGTTGGTTACACCCCTAAATAGAACTCATCATACATCTTGTTGTGTGGATTGAGCTTCTTGTGCCCTTTCTTCCTCATGTGCTCCTTCAGCACCTCCCTACTCTTGAACACCTTCTCACAGTACAGACAGACCAACCCATCCAACTTCCCTTGCAGCAGGTCCAGCAACTAAACCAAATCCAAGATTTATCATTAAATTCCGGGAAAAAATGTCAACGCCATTGATACATTAAAAATAACAGATAGGACACTAGATGTCATCTTTTCAAGATTTAGGGATTTTTCGTTCACAATAACCGTGAGGCAGCAGCCCAAAGGAGTTCCGCGCAGTAAGCGTTAAATACAAGACAGAGAGAGCATGCGCTGCCTGCGTGAAATTCCTTTGTGCTGCTGCCTCAGGATTACTGTGACCGAAAAACCCCAGAACCTTAAAAAGACGACATCTAGTGTCCTATCTGTTATTGTTAATTAATCTATGGTCAACGCATTTAATCTATATATAAATTTGGCTTGTCTGTCTGTCTGTCTGTCTGTCTGTCTGTCTGTTTGATTGTATCCAATAAACGTCAAAACGGCTGAACCGATCGGGCCCAAATTTTTTGTGGGACATCTAGGGACCCCAGGGAAGGTTTATGAAAAATCAAAATTTCAAATATTATATTTGTCTCCATCAAAATTCGATCGTCATTAAATTTTTAAAAATTTTGAAAATCCGCGAAATTTTTTGTGAAAATCCGCGAATTATTTTTTGTTTTGTTTTACGATGTACACAAAGAGAACATGTTCACAACTAATTTAGAAGATGGGCTCGAAGCGCTAGAAAGAAGGGCGCGAAGCGCCTTGAATTTCTAGTGACTTAAATAGCGTTATAAACAATTAACTAGCTATTGGCATATATATATATATATATATATCTATTTTAAGAAAATAAGTATTTAAAGCATAATATATAAATATACAGGTAAAATTCTAAATAGCTTATATATTCATTAATCAGAGACAGGTTTACGCCGTTATGAAGTCATAGGGATTCATAAAAATACTGTGATAAAAAAATTGAACAATTTTTGTTCAATTATCTAAATTAAATGTTAACTGGGTTTCAAGAATGTCATCGTGAAACATCTATTTTATACTATTCCTTATTTTCAATTTCTTTTTTTAAAGATTTGGATAAAATTTCCATTTTTGACGTTTAACCCTATCCCTGCTGGGGTACTTGAAAACCAGGATATGCTGGGGGGGGGTCAAATTGACCCCCCCCCCTCTAAATCCCATGTTTTATGTCCAAATATGACAAATGATACATCATTAGAAAGCTCTTGTGCTCTACTTTTAGAATCTGCAAAAAAATTTGCAAATTTGCAAAAATTGAATTTTTTATCGCAAAATCCAGTTATATAGTGAAAATGTTTGCAAAAAAAAAATTTGTCCAAAAAATGAAAAATTATACATTTTTGAAAAGACCTTGACCATGCCATTTCAAATATGCAAAACTTTTTGCAAAATTTTAAATAACCTGATTTATAATCAAGAAAAACTAAAAATGTGCAAATTTCCTTTGACAGGTTGTTTGCAAAAAATTTGCAATTTTTTTTTCGCAAAACTTGTGCAATCCGTTTCCTTATGTCATAGGCTTTCCAAAAAGCTAAATTTTTTCAAAATCTAACAAGTGAAAGTGGGTCAAAACAAAGATTTAGTTTGTTACAGGCAAAAACAGTCATTCAGGCAGTGTGCCTGAGGACTCAGGCAGTTAGTATTAAAGCCCGGTTTAGGCCTAAAGGAAGGGCTTTGGGTATGTAAGAAAAGTCAGAAAACAACAGCCTCAGACCAATACTTTTTGAGTTATGTAAAAAAAAAACTACAGGGGGGGGGGGTCAAATTGACCCCCAGCAGGAATAGGGTTAAACAATAAAATTTTCATTAAAATATTGCTTAACTTGGGTTTAACCTGAAAAAAAACCACTGAGTTTTACTAATACTTTCAGTTTATGTAAATAAGTTACAAAAGTAGCAACTCTTGTGTCAACTTATTGTTTTTTGTCGCATTTTAAATCTACAGATCAAATAGTAATCAGATAGGGAATAAATAAATATAATATAGGTTAACCCAGTCCTTCGGAGACATCGAAAGAATTAAAAAAATGTCGTTTTCTTAACTTTCGGATAATTTAATGCTGCAGATATCTAGTTTATTAATCAAATGAGGATATGGAGTAAACCTGTTCTTGCATATTCATGGCTATTCATTTATTTTTAAAATCATAAAGTTATGATAGTATAAAAACTATTGAAAAATTCTCAAGAATGACATTTTGTAAATTATTTTGACAGCTCCGAAGTGCTGGTGTAAACTGTACTAAAACTAGATTTTCGAATGACGGATAAAAACAATAAAATATTTTTTTATTGTTTTTTTGCCGTGTTTGAGGGCCAGGTTTTGCCCTGGCATATTGCAAAAAAAAACTTGCAAGTAATCATGGGATTCCTTGTTTACGAAGACTAGGTTTGCTGGCTGGCCAACGCTGAAGTTGTGATCGAAAGCCATGTGATCAAAGAGTTTAGAATGCTGACTAAAAACTTTTTTACAATACAAACAAATGCGGGAAAATTGTTGGCTGCCATTTTCTTGCTCGTGGATTTTTAGAACTTGTTCCAACCGTTCAAGCTGCAATTTCTTCCGAAGCTCCTTGTCCTCAGGAACTATATCAGAAAGTAGGGAGAAATCGCGCATTTCTTTTACTGTTCCAGCTTCGGTGGTCTGGGTTGAGACCTCTGCTCGTAAAGAGGTACAGTAGGCAGTCACGGGCTTGTCGTTGAATTTGTTCTTCCAATACCTGAACAAGTTGCATATTTACAAAATTGGCCAGACATTTTTTCCAAATTTTTTTTCAATTTTTTAAGGGTGAATTAAGCTGAAAAGTATGTAGTTAGGAATTTTGTTATTGTTTCGTTGGGGACTGAAGTCAGAACTTTTGTGTTGTAAATATTTAAAAAAAAATATTTGATGTTTACCTAACATACTGAGGAAAATCTGCAATCAGCTGAACATCTGCAATAACAAAACTGTGAGTTAAGAGAAGATGTTGGAGTAGTAAATCTTTCCCACTCTTCTTCATGTCTTCCGTGTAACCTTCAACTAGAGATGGACATAGTTCTTTTTGAACGAACAACATTTTTGAGAACGAACAAAGAAAAAATCAAGTGAACTTTCCAAAAGATTTGGAAAATAACTTTCGTATTTTAATGAACAAACGATTTTATTGAACAAACAATTTCGAGGAACGAACGATTTTTGGACCAAACTTTTAAAAAGACCATAGCATTTAATGAACGAACGATTTTATTGAACAAACGATTCTACTGAACGAACGATTTTACTGAACGATCTTTTAGTGAGAAAACGAACGAAGTAGATGGAAAATGAACAATAATTTTACAAAAGAGCGAAATCAATTTGAACGATTGAAGAAAAACAAACGATGAACGAACAAAATGCATAAAAGTCAAAGGTGTCCATCTCTACCATCAACTGAAGTCTTTTCACCATTTTCTTCTTTTTTACATTCCTCCAACACTTCAGGTATATGGGATCCATCTACAGCATCCTTTAAGATAATCTACTCAAAATAAATTTTATAGAATATTAATTTTGTTGTCGGCGTCGCTGTTTTTTAGTTTTGTTGATCACATTAAACTTAAGGCTTGAGGAATTATGAAGGAAGGGGTGGGGGGAGACTCACATCTTTATCCAAACGACTAAAACAAACGCTTAACGACTCACGACTGAACGAGTGTCATCGATGATTCACATGTTACTTAATACAATTAAGACCTATAAGTTTACAACGTTTGATTCATAAAGCAGCAATGGCTCTAGTTTTAACTAAGACACGTCTGAAATTAATTAAGAAGTTAAGTTAAGATTTGTACATGAATTAAATATTTTAGCAAATTACTTGAATCCATCAAAACTATGCAGCTGATCGACTAAGGAGACGCTTTGCTAGAAAGTGTCAATTTTGCTTAGGATCCATTTGGTTTTGATGCGGATCCAGATTCCAGATCTTGGATCCGCACTGGAAAAAAATGGATCCAGATCCAAGTCATGAACATTCCTTCAAGATTTAATGATTTTCTAACTGAAGAAGAATTTTATAAATTATTTCTCCTATTTTTTTTGCTAAAACTTTGTGAACCTTTTATGGATAAGGACATTTTTGTTAAACTCTCTTTTCAGCAGTTCAGATTTGGGTTTTAAAGCAAAAGTTTTTTGTTGATATTTTTACTATTGGATCAGGATCCGTGGATCCGCATATTTTAGCGGATCCGGAACCAGGAAGCCATAATGTTGCAGATCCAACAGACCCGGATCCTAAAAACTGGAAATTGGCTTAATGAATTAAAAAGCACAGACTTAAATGAAATTAAATTGAAATGGGATCAGTGTTGTTGCGACAGTTCATCCCTCCTAGTGTTTTAACCATTTTTATATCATTATTTAAATTTTGAAATTTGGTTTAATATATACAATAATAAAAGATATATTGATAAACATAAAATTATGCATTTTGATTGAGTGAATAAACTATTAGATATACACGTAGACAGCATTAAATTAGATCCACATTCATATATATTTACGCAAGTGCGACTATTCATAATCTTCAAATTGCAAAGTTTAAGTTACTCTCAATAAGATGATATGAAATCATCACCACATACTATTAATGAAAAATAAAATCAGCTAAATTTATTTGCACTAGAGTCACGTATCGGTAGAAAAAAAACTTTAAAAAAATGACCAGATTTATCGGCGCTACAACGTTTAGACATCAAACGATTGTATTAACGTATTTTGATAGAAAAAAACGCATTCAACGATCTTTCTATTTTTGCGTTTCACTTGTATAATACGTTTAGAACTGAATGCGCATTCAATTATGCAATTTTATAAATTATCAATATTTTTATATTGCTATTGATTTCTAAAATTGCGTTATAATGCTTTAAACTTGGTTGAACTGTTACAGGGAAGATGGGGGTGAACTGTTACAGGGGAGATGGGGCTGAACTGTTACAGGGGAGATGGGGGTGAACTGTTACAGGGGAGATGGGGCTGAACTGTTACAGGGGAGATGGGGTGAACTGTAACAGGGAAGATGAACTGGCGAAGGATATCAGGGGTGCGGGGGGGGAAGACTTTAATGAGGCGATTTATTCCTGAGATAAGTCGGAGAATTTCTCCTCGCAGAGCAGACAAACTAGATCCTAAACATAATTTATTTGTAAAATGCATTTCTTTTTTTTACTCAATTGCGTTTCTGGCTGTAAGAGATGGCATAACTTAACAAAACTGATAATTTTAAGATCAATATTTTTAATTATTACCCCGGCCTTTTATAAACTATAAATAATACTTCGTCTATATTGTAAATGAAACATTTACCTAAAAAATCATCTTGTAACAAGAAATTTTTACTCTTTACTTTAAAGAATTTTTGTCATCTAAAGTTTAAATTTTCCAAACGATTTTAGTTGGTTAAGTAATTGCATAGTTTTATTTTTAAAGAAATCAAAGAAATGAATTGGAAAAATAAAACAAACTCAGCAGAATAATTAACAAATATTCAATCAGCGATAAATAGAATACAAATTTGGTTACTTTTGTAAGGGTCATCTCCGCTGAATAGGAGGTAATAATTAATTGTTAACGGATAAAAAAAATCAAAATGCGGGTGATGTCAGATTATCATTTCCTCCCATAGCATCGGAAAAGGGAAGAGTAATTTTGGTAATTTTCTACTTAACACTTTTTGCCTGTCCCATTTTAAGTGTGTACAATGCACATAACCTTACCCAAATTAATAAAATAATATTGATAAATATGTGGAAAATCCAATCGAGGGAGGGGTGGGGGTACAAAAATCGGATATTAGGACGGAACCAGGTAAAAATTTAAGAAATGTGAAAATATACACCCCTGAATCCTAGCAGCTTATCCACCTTCCTTAAATGCAGTGCTTACGAACCATTTGATTTTGATGCAAATCCGCACTGGAAAAAAAGGATCCGGATCCAGGAAGCCAAAATGTTGCGAATCCATGGGATCCTGATCCTAAGCACAGTCTAAATTTACCTGATTTAGAATTTGAATATTAGTATCTAGTTCAGGTAGCTTGAGCGCTTCTAGAATAAGCTGCTGATTGGGACCATACTCATCCATCTTGAACATTAATAACAGAAATTTTACTTTCTGCAATATTTGTCGTTTTTGGAAAATATATTGAAACACATTTACTCCAGTAAAGAAGGCCATTGAGCCGAGCGATGCAGCTAGAACAGACTATCAAAAACGAGCAAGGCGGCTAGAAAAGGCTAATGTGTCAGATAATGCACCACATGTTATACTTGGAACATGTGCAAAATATGGCTACATATACAAAATAGATAAGGGGGGTTATACAGAGCGTCCCATATCATATTGGATTATCTCCAATCTTTAACGACAAAATAAACCCTTAATACTCGAAAAACTTATCATTTTCCCCAAGAAAATTCTTATATAAGCCTTATATTATTTTTCAAATTGATTCATTCTAATTAAATTTTCTTATTAGTCCCGAAAATCGCAATTTAGACCCGTTTACGGTCTAATATGATGTGGGACACCCTGTATTAAAAAGTACTAATGCCGCGTGAAATTATGGACATTGGACAAGCTGTAGCCTCGATGCTAAATCGATTGGACTAACATACAGTTGAACTATGGTTGAAATGCACATACAGTGAGTTATTTCCAAACCGGTTTTAGACCATTTGCACAATAGCGCATATATTAATAATTTAAATTGATAATGTTCATTTCATTCGTAAAAAACAATTAAATTATTCATTGCCATATGACGCAGGTGCATTTTATGACATACAGATTACAGATTTTTACGGCATGCATGATTGATCAGACTAAATTAGTAAACTACATTTTAATTCTCAGAAATGATTGAATATAGCAGGAAAATATGTGTATGGAAATGCGCGCCCGCTCTACAACGATGCCTAATATGATTGGATAATTTAAATACTTTCTATGAATATGAGAGCTTTCTTCAACACATACTGGGACCTGCTGGCAGGTGTTGTAGCTGGCTCTCTTTTTACCACCCCTGCAGTCTCACCGCACAGCCACAGCACAGGGCACTTCTGTGCCTCTGAATCTTACTCTGCGCAGCCGCAGTCATTAAGCATTCTGGATTTGGGACCATTTCAACACAGTACAGTCAAAGATGATCCTCGGATAGCAGTTTGCTCAGTGTGCAAAACTTTCAGATGGAAAAGAAGTAAAAACACATCAACTGCATGTAAGTTTTAGTCTTTTCTACCATATAATTTTTATAAATCAAGGCTACTTCAGTAGTGTAGTATGTCTATTGTCATATTGTCTAGTGATGGGCAAGAACTCTTAGAACTTGCATTAGTTATAGAATATGTCCTTGGTATAGAATTTTTGAACGCCCCCCTCCCTTGCTAGGAAATGCATGCCTATTCTTAACCAAAGGGCACAATTGTGAATCGGGCAATGCCATATTTGAGTGGAGCATATTGAGGTAATTGAGCTTATAGTCCCTTTTTTAAATTTAATGAAATGCTAGATATTTTCAAATACAATTGAAAATTTCTTATAATCAGGGGTGTACAAAAAAAAATTTTGAGGGGGGCTTAACACGTTTCTAATCTGTTAACCCTATTCCTGCTGGGTTAAACTTGAGTTGAATTGAGTTTTTGCCACAAACTCAAATCTTCTGATCCCAATATCTTTGCAACCTGATGGTGCAAACCTTTTATTTTATCTATTAGTATTAAGAGTTTGGAATATCTAAGGTCAACGACATTGGATTACAAAGATATAGAGATTAGAAAATCAGAGTTTGTGGCAAAAATTCAACTCCTTTATGCTGAAAATGCGCATTTTTATTTACTCATTAAATATGGAGGCCTTCTTATACCAAAAATTACACAAAATCTACGCAAACTTGACGCATTACGTGCACAATTTTCTAAACAAAAATATGGTTTCTAAAGGAATTGAGTTTTTGCCACTAACTAAAATCTTCTGATCCCAATATCTTTGCAACCTCATGGTGCAAACCTTTGATATTTCAAAGTTAGAGTATTTTATTTATTAATAGTTTGAAAAATTCAACTCCTTTTGGCAAAATTATTGCTAATTAAACAAATGCAAAATTTCTGCCTAATTAATACCCATCAATCAATTGCAACTATAAACAATCGTTCAGTTAAAAAAATGTTGTTGCTTTAAAATATTTTATATTAAAATAACTTAAATTGATTAGAAACAAACGTAAATATTCAAACACAAATTAAAACTCGATATAGATCTTGCTTTCAAGAGTCTATTGATTTCTGGAAGAATTTGAAATTGTTGGTGAACTGTTTTAAAATCTTTGAAGATTTCTTTTCTAATCACTGCACACATTCAGCCTGCTTATCAAAAGTCTCCTCAGGGTCGACTTTGTAGTGTCGCAAGACCTTAGCCTAAGCTTTTTAGCACAAAAAAAGCAATAGTTGTTAGCTTTGGTTTTTAAGTAATTGGCAAAATTCTCATCGATTTTTGCTTGAGAGCGTGAGACTTCTTAATCACAAAACAGCAGTATTATGGCATATTATCTGAACTTCATTCTGTATTCTGATTCCAGATATAGTTATTTCTGAAATAAAAAATCGATGAAAAAATAGAAAAGAAAAGAGAGGGAAAGCATGAATGGATGAAAGAAAAGAAAGAAAAGAATTTAGAAGAGGAAAGAAGAACTGAACATTAACTTTTTCAATAGTTTTATTAAATAACGAAAAATTTTATTGAACAAAGTATTTTAGGTTAGGTTAGGTTAGGTTAGGCTAGTTAAGAACTTGGCAGTATAAAATTCTCTTTTTCAAAACTAAGGCATTTTATACATACTGGAGGTTGTGAGGGTAGTGGGGAATATAAAAAAAATAATTGAATAAATGTTGATATTAACCGTCTATGTACGAAGCGGTCGATATCGACGGCTCACTTTAGTCACCCATTACCCCCTTATCGGTTTACAAATTAATTTGTTTTTTAAAAGTTTTGCGTAACTTGACAACCCAGAAACCAAGTTCAAGCATATTTTTCCTTGTTTTTGTTTTTATTTTATGTGAAGATCTTGATAGGTATTGAGAGGATACACAAAAATTAGACAAAAATGTGAGACCCCCTCCACTTTTTTCAAAGTTAACATTTTCGTGATTTTTGTTTTAAAAAATACGTCTTACAGAGGGGACTTCAGACTTTTTTTCAGGGGGGATGGGGCTCAGAACCCTTTTATTTCATTTTTAAATCATTGAAAAATTTTCATATCTTACACTTCTTAAATTTGATCAACAATGTAGACTTAATATCTTCAAACTGACTTGCTCATGTGTTTTTTGGTTCCTTAATTTATGCACAAGATTTAAAATAGTGATACAATATAGACTAAAACCTTTCGGAATAAGTAGTTTATGTCTACTTGTTTTTTTCCCATTCCTCAAATTTGGTTATGTATCATAATATATATACAAATAGTGGGAAACAATTGGGAAAGTACAAATTTCAAATAAGAACTATTGGGAACATGTGGGAAAATTGTGGACACTAGTGGGAAATAGTGGGAAACAAGTGGGAACATACACATTTCAAGTGGGAACTAGTGGGAACAAGTGGGAAACTAGTGGTAACTAGTGGGAAACTAGTGGTAAATAGTGGGAACATGTGGGAACAAGAGGGAACTTGTGGAACTAGTGGGAACTAGTGCATTTCTTGAACCTTATTATCTGTACTACTAGCTATAAATTAAAAGCTAATATGTATTTGTAAAAAATTGCTTTTTTCATACACATAAATAACTTTACGAATAAAAAATATGTTGTTTAAAAATCGTTAGTCTTTCAATCATTCAAAAGTAAATTGATCAAGTTTGTTTTAAAAATGATAATTTATCATGTTCGTTTTTTAACTGAAAGTCGTTCAACATAATTGTTTGTTTAGTAAAATACTTTGTTCTATAAAATTGTTCGTTATTTAATTAAACTATTTTTTCAAATTTGTTTGAAAAAGTTGTAGTTCAGTTCTTCTTTCCTCTTCTAAATATTTTTCTTTCTTTCTTTTCTTTGATCCATTCATTCACATTTTTTTTACTATTCTTATCGATTTTTATTACAGATAGAACTGGGCAATCTGGAACCAGAATACAGAATGAAGTTTAGAAAACATGGCCGTCTTTGAAAGACTGCAGTGCACACTGTGAATTAAAGGTTTCACGCTCTCAAGCAAAAATGTATGAGAATTTTGACAATTTTTCTAACATAAAGTGCTAAAAAGCTTAGTCCAAGGTGTTGCGACACTACAAAGTCGACCCAGTCTGAAAAATTGAGGAAACTTTTTATAAGCAGGGTGAATCTATGTATGTGTGCAGTGATTAGAAAAGAAATCATCAAAATATTTTAAAACAGTTCACCAACAATTTCAACTTATCTCAAAAGACTCTAAGAATCTTGCGATTCATGTAAAAATAAGAAACCAAGTGAAAATTAATTAATATCCAGTTTTTGTGTGTTAAAATATTTTTGTTTGTTTCTAATCAATTTAAGTTATTTTAATAGGATTTTAAAGCAACAACATTGAGGCATGATTGCGGAATACAGTGAAAATCAGAAAACTCTTAAATATAAAAACGACTTTCAGACTCAATCTTTGACTTTTATAATAGTCCAATTTGCTCCAGGGCATTGTAAATTAGTCATTAAAGAAATAAGTGTCTTGTAAAAGTGCCTTGTAACATAACTGGCTATTGATAAAAAATTCAATTTTCGCAAATTTGCAAATTTTTTTGCAGATTCTAAAAGTAGAGCACAAGAGCTTTCTAATGATGTATCATTTGTCATATTTGGACATAAAACATGGGATTTAGAGAGGGGGGTCAAATTGACCCCCCCCCCCCAGCGTATCCTGATTTTCAAGTACCCCAGCAGGGATAGGGTTAAGAGTTTTCCAGTTATTCTGTAGATTAAATGTTAAAATTGTACAATATGATCGTAGGTTTCCTGTGGGTATATATGATTTGTACTTTAATTAGTTAGTTGAAAATAAGTTGTAGTGTAGGTAAAAAGGAAATTGTAGGAGGTCGAAAGGAAGTTGTAGTCGGTTGATAGGAAGTTGTAGTAGGTCGAAAGGAAGTTACAGTAGGTCAAAAGATAGTTGTAGCAGGTGGATAGATAGTCGCAATAGGTCGTAATAGGTTGGAAGCAGATTTTTTAAGGTCGCAGAGAGGTCGCTGGTTGCACTTTACGTTTTTGCAACGTCAAAACAACTTTGTATCGACTTAAGATCGACGTCGTAAGGACGTCGGCAAGACCTAAGACAACGTCCCCCTGACGTCTTGTTGACGTCGGTTGGAATGGAATGGGGATTGAACCGTTCTTTGACTAAGAACACCAAGAACGGAACAGAATGGGATGGACCATTCTTCAACTAAGAATGAACGGAACAGAACAAGAACAGAACGATTGGAAAAAAGGAACGAGAACGGATCGATTTAGCTGAAGGCCCTTGTATTAGAATGGAAAGGAATGTTTCCAAAAAGTCAGAAATTGCCCAGCCCGAGCTGTACTGTTATTTAATCCTAAACAGGCTGGAAGGTGGGTTTTGACGACCCCCCACTAATTTTTTTTTTGTAAGTTCTGTAATTTTGCTTTTTGTCCACTAAGCAATTTTTTCACTAACCAAATCTATCAATCTATTAATCTATTAAACAATAAATTATTCTAGTATACAATTAATTATTCTATTAATCAATTAATTAAATTATTACTTGGACTTAATTCACTGTAAACATATAAATATTTAGTTAAAATCCTATAAAAAAGCATGATTCAAATGTTTAATATCCAATACAACCTATAAATAGATCTAGTAAATATTGTTTGATGTTTAAATGAAGGTGGGGACGTTGTAGAGCCGCCATCAACCCCGCATTTTAACATCTGAACCCCCAGATTTGCGTTAAAATATCCAATCCCACCATAACATATGAATTTAAAAAAATGTTATGAATAAATTTTAAAGAAACTTTTCTGTTCTGCAGTTTCAAAGTTTTTAATCATTTGATATTTTAAAATGTTCCATATTTACCCCCCTATATTAAACCACTGTATCCCAATGTAATAAACCACTAAAAGCCATAGTTATAATTCAATCAGTGACTTAAAACATTAGAAACTAATATTTTTATTAATTTTGAAAGCTATTTAAAGGTTTTAAAAATGAAAATTTTATAGTTATTTATTTACCAAGCCACCTCCTGTTGGAAACTTCGGGTTCGGATGTCATTCTGCAAATTCGGTGGTTCAGATGTTGAAATGAGAGGATGATGGTAGCTCTGCCTCCCCCCCCCCTTCTTAGGATGGATTTAAATCAAGACAAAATTAAAACTTGAGGGAACTATTATGAATCAGAAAATGTCAGTTACATGGAGAACCATTTAAAGTTACACATTCACTGCCTTTAAATCTCTTAAAAATCAAATATTTTTTCTAATTTTAGAAGTATTCCAACTAACAATTCCAACTTTTTATTGATCGTTACAAATATTTTATGAATTTACTATTTTATTTAAGAACAAGTAAGTAGTATTCCAGTGCATTGAAGTCTAATCCTTCCTACAATACAGCCACACATATGCTTCTCGTCATATTGGTAGGTTTTTAAATTATGATTTATCTATTTTATACTTATTAATTAATAAGTAGATAGTTCAAGATTAGGTTCAAACATTATTTTTATTACTATCAGGGGTCATGTAAGGTCCAACACAAAATGTTCAACCGCTTGATGTTTATGGGATACAAAAAGATAATTACAAATAAACAGACACCCAGACAGACAAGCAAAATATCATATTATATCTATATTCATAATTTGCTTGTCTGGGTGTCTGTTTGTTTGTCTGTCCATTATTATTGAATAAACATCATAACAACTCTAAACCAATCAGGCCCAAATTTTGTTTGGGACCTCACATATAAATGCTTAAAATTACAAAAAGGTTTTTAACATTTTTTTAAATTTTTGTTAAAATTTGAAAATGACCAAATTGTTTTTTGTTTTTATTGCACAAAGAGGAGATGCTCAGAGATAGACAAGGGCTTATACAGAAATAAATTTAGAGTGAGGGGCTCAAATATATTTTCCCCCCCCCAGGAGCAAAATTTGAACTGTAAATTCAAAATATTTGACTTTAAAGGTACACATATCACGATGTTAACACTTTCATTATTTTTAAAAACGATCGTTTTGTCATGAAAACGACGACGAAAAATCGAAAATGAAATGATCATTTATAAACATGATTGTTTTTTTTTAAAAGTACGTTTTTTAAAAACTGTCGTTTTTAAAACAGTCGAGTTGTTTATAAAAAAAGCCGTTTATAAAATGGGCGTTTTTTTAAATGATCATTAACATAAAAGTCAATAAAAATTATTTTTTTAAACGATCTTTATTTTAAAAGCCAACGTTTTAAAAAACAATCGTATAAAAAACAGTCACTAATAATTTTTATAACGACAATCGTTTCCGAAAACAAAACAATGCTTTTGAAAATGATCAAAAAACAAAACTAAAAACAATTGTTTAACAATTTTTTTAAAATGATTAACAACCGTACACGTACAGTTCAATTACCTATCAAGTACTGCTTTATCTCTCCTTTAAACAAAACTAGCAGAAAAAAACATCAAACTAATTTTTTTTATGTTCCTCACTCTTCCGTTATAGATTTTAAAAATATGATAGCTCCTCTTACAGGTCTGTTTACGCCCGTGCAGATAGAGCCAGAATTAAAAGTTAAAATAGAAAATGGGCGCAAATCGCCTTAAATTCTTGTATATTATTTCAGCTCATTACTAGCTCTGCTGCTGGGAAGATTCAAGATGAGTCTTTAGAATGGTAATGTAATTTTTTTATTATTTTACATTACAACATGACATTAGATTTGTGATATATTATAAAACTAATTACATGGGTTACAGTTACTAAAATTGTCTGAGACCGAATTTAAAGAATTTGGGCTAAGCTGCTGAACTAGCTACATCTGGTTCAAATTTGAACTCCAGATACAAAGTTAAAGATTAAGGAAGGATTTGAATCGGTGGTTCAAATTTAAACCAGGGGTAGGAAGTTCAGCAAAGCACCTCAAATTCTTTAAATTCTTGATTACATTCCATATAGGGGCGAGGTGGGGTCAAGTTGGGAAGCAGACCATGGTAGTGAAGAAGTTGATGTGATCCCTGAAATACCGAGCAATGGTAATTTATTTCTCAGAATATTATGAAAGTACTGTAGATACTTACTAAAAGGTTGTATGTATAGTGTGGATATCAGTCACAGCCGAAAATTAAAAATTAAGAATAAAAACAAAATAAGTGAGATAAAATTTAAAATCATCCATAGGTATCCAGAAACTTAGTGACTTGTTTAAACCTCTGCTAACCAGGAAGAAAAGTGTTAAAGAATGTACATGCAAAACAATTAAACCAAGGGAAGAGGAAGAGGAGTTAACTATGCTTGAACCAGAGGAAGTATCTGAAAAAAATAATGGAACCACGGACTTGTCTCTTCCTAAAGAGAATGGAACTGACTATTCTATTGGATATTGGAGCCCGGACTATGACGTGAAACCCCGAGATAAATGTAATCCTAAAACTCAATCTTGGTCAGTATCAAACGCAATCTATTGCTTGGACAAATGTTCCAAGAAAAAAAAATGTCCAACTAAAAAAACCTGCCAAAAAATATGTATCTCTGAATATGATAGTATTTTGGATTCACGTATAGAAGAAGATGCCTCTCATCAACTTGGACTTTCATCATTAAAGGGAAAACAACTCCATAAAGCAGTTTGCAGGATAAGAAGTTGGGTCCAGATAGGAGATATTTGTCATCCAAAATGCAAGAAAGTTTCTGACTGCCTCAAATCAAATCTATCAAATCAAGCACGTAAAGATTTAATAGATCGTGTAAGATGTGAATCAATTTGTGTTTAAAAGTAGCATGTTTTTAAAACTCTTCTTGTATTTTATAAAAAACATACTTTTGGTTGAATCATTTAAAATTTTTAAGTTTTATATCCCTGTTCTTAATAAAGCATGTTTAAAGATAAAGATGTAGAGAGTGTCTCAAACAAAACTGTGCAGAATAAAAAAAGCTTTTAAAAAATCATCACTTTAATTTAAAATATTTTTACTTTAAAAATGATGTTCACGCTCTCATTTGTTGTTGGTCCATTTTTATGATAGGTTCAAGGTATTAGATAGTTAAAAAGGCCAAAAATGGTGTAAGTTTTTTTATTAGGCCTTCTAAGGGACTGTTCACGCATAAAAAGAACACCTTCTCAAATGTAAACATATGTCTTAGAGAGTTGAAGTCATCCAAGGTATTGTTTTATAGGTATACACATATGCATATGCATGTTTCAATAATGATATTGGTTTTTGAAAAATTTACCACAGAGGTTGTTATCCGCCAATTTTATTTCTAAAGGGTCATTTTAGGTGGTCAAATTATATTAATAGCAAACATCGTCATGTGTGTCTAAACAGGGGTAAACCCATGGTAAATCCATTTTTTATCTTTTTTTTTTTTGAAAATTTGACTCCTGAGGTCACAACTGCCCATTTTGACCTCCAAGTGGTCATTTTGGAGGTCATATTATGTCAATGGAGTACTCATACCGTCATGTCGAATTGTTTCTTACTATTTTTTGTCTATACATACTAAAGAAAATTCGCCGAATTTAGAGTAGAAAATTCCTTATTTTTTTTAATTAATCTGATCACAGTTCTCTCCAAGTGAGAGATTGTTTATCTATAAACTTTATACCAAACATTCAAATGGGAGAAGGAATACTAGATTGTTACATTTTACATCATGAAATAACTAAAATATAGAGCTTTCGAATAACACCTTGATCGTAAAAATTGAACAAAAATTGTTTCCTCAGACACCCTGTATTCTTTCCAACTGTATATATGTTGATAACTAAGAGCATTTGCATCTAACCCCATTTATTCAACATTGAAAATTTTGTGATATAATGGGACAAAAAAATCCTTTGCTTTTTATTTATTTGTGTGGCTGTTCCACGGCCCGCTTATATGTATGCTTCTATCTACTGATCTATACTATTCTGGGCAAGTGTACATGTAACATTGTCAGTGGGCTACACAGCTGTTATATCTAAGTGTACCCTAAATATTTTTATGAAATTTCTAAAACCTCTGCATAGCAAATTTTAGGTTTTACTATAACAAATTTTTACTATTGTTCATTCTATAAAAATAATTTGTACTTTTAAAAAAGTTTGAAGTGAAGTTCAGGGTCCAAATTAGAGAAGAACTTTGGAAGATAGTGGGCCCTGGAGTAATTAGAAATGAGATATTGTAGCTAAAATCTTTTGAAAAAAGCATTTTCTTCAAAGAGTTGGTAGCATCAAAGGTGCCTTGTTATCAGAATTCCAAAATGTGGTCTGCCCTTTTTGTACCTTAAAAATTGACTAAGATATTGAGAAATTTGCTTAAAATTCAAAATATTAAATATCAGCAAGTTGTTTAAATCTTTAGTATCTCCAACAATTTTTATAATACAAAGAAGGAGGCTAAATCTTATCAAGTTTTAAAGACTTACAATGTTTTTCTTTACTCCTTTGACATCTATTAACTTTACGAAAACCAAAGACAAATTGTAAGTTACAGGGTCCAATGTCTAACATACTGCAATAACACCCCAGCGAAAAAATTACACCAAACCTTGACTATGATATATTCATATTATATATCCATGGGCTGTTCAGAGTTCAGTTGGCACTTCAGTTTAAATATATTATTTACTTATTTATTTGGCTGTTCAGAGTTCTGTTGTCACTTTGGTTCAGATATATTATTTATTTATTTGTGTGGGTGTTCAGTGTTCAGTTGTCACTTCAGTTAAGATATATTATTTATTTATTTGTTTGGTTGTTCAGAGTTGAGTTGTCACTTCAGTTTAGATATATTATGTTAAATTTTGAAACCCTTCTACACTTCGATTCACATGTTGTAATGGAATAGGTAAAAGTGTATTGTTTTTATCTTTTGGTAATTCCTAGATTTTTCGGTTGGTAGGAAGGAATGGTTCATTTTCACTTTTTTGTAAAACAATCTTTTTTTGTTAATGACGTAAAAAACGAAAATTTAAACCAAAGAAGTGTTTTTTCTTTGTTTTAGTTCCTCGTTTTGGTGAAGAAGAAAGGTCGTTTTAAGCCAATTAAGATGCAAATATATCATTTCTTAAAATGTTTTGTTTGGCTGGTTGGTTTTCATTGCGTTTTTTATTTTAAAATATTGTTTTAAAAAAACTTGGTTTGCTTAGTGTGTTATTTATAAAAGTCAACCAACTCATCCATCATTCCTGTGGTTATGATAAATGCTCCAATTAAAACTGGTCAAGGTGTTCCTGAGTTATGATCCAAACATAGAAACAAACAATCACTGAAACAGAGATTAATAATTTATATATATAGATAAACATAAAAACGACATACTTCCGGTCATTGGATTTTGACATTCCCTATCCCTGCTGGGGTAATTGAAAACCAGGATACGCTGGGGGGGGGGGTCAATTTGACCCCCCCCCCCTAAAGATGCCTTGTAAGAGAATTTTCACATTTTCAGTTTTCCTTTTTATTTGCATACACATTTAAATTTGCTGTGACAAGGGCTTTTTCAAAAATGTATAATTCATCATTTTTGTTTTGGCACATTGTTTTGCTTATTAATTTTTTTGTTGATTATTCAAGTAGACAAGTGCTTCCCAAAAGTGCAGTATAAAATGTTGTAGATTTGTAACACAATAAGGATAAAGAGTTCTTGAATATTTTGAGTAAACCAGACATCAGTCTGAATAGAAAAAGGCCTTAGAGAATAGTTATGAATTTAAATGCATGTTCATAGCTAATTTTATCAAGGCCTGCCTAAAGAAAAAAATTCAGACCAAAAACTTTAATAAAATGGGTGCTAGGGAGGGTTGAAAAAAAGGTTAAAAAAAGAAAAAAATATTTTTTTTGTGTTAAAAAAATATCAAATTGTGACACATGTTTCTACATGCATTTTTCAAGGGCTTTTCAAAACTATAGTTTTTAGATCTGGAGTCTTGAGTCATTATAAATTCTACATTTTTTAGATCTAATTCCACATTTTTAGATCGAATTCTTCATACTTGCAAATTAATTTGGAAACCTTTTTTTCCAATAAATTGGGAATTTTATCTAAAATATGTAGAATTGGATTAAAATATTTATTTTCAAAAATTTTATTTTTTAGATGACATTTTTGACTCAAAATATATGAAATCTAAAATTTAGATTAAATTCCTCAATTTTCCAAAAAAAAATATAGTTTTCTTATAGTCTAAAACAGATTTTAGGCTAGTAAAGTGAGCAAGGCCCGAAAAAAACCTTGGTTTAAAATGGCCAAAAAATGTCAAACCAATCTAATCGTCTATGTACAAGCGGTCGATATCGACCGCTAACTTTAGTCATCCATTACCCCCTTATCGGTTTACAAATTAATTTGTTTTTTTTTTAAAGTTTTGCATAACTTGAAAACCTAGAAACCAAGTTAAAGCATATTTTTGCTTGTTTTTGTTTTTATTCAGTGAAGATCTTGATAGGTATTAACCCTATCTCTGCTGGGGTACTTGAAAACCAGGATATGCTGGGGGGGGGGTCAATTTGACCCCCCCCCTCTAAATCCCATGTTTGATGTCCAAATATGACAAATGATACATCATTGGAAAGCTCTTGTGCTCTACTTTTAGAATCTGCAAAAAAATTTGCAAATTTGCGAAAATTGAATTTTTTATCGCAAAATCCAGTTTTATAGTAAAAATGTTTGCAAAAAAAAATTTGTCCAAAAAATGACAAATTATACATTTTTGAAAAGCCCTTGACCATGCCATTTCAAATATGCAAAAATTTTTGCAAAATTTTAAATAACCTGATTTTTAATCAAGAAAAACTAAAAATGTGCAAATTTCCTTTGACAGGTTGTTTGCAAAAAATTTGCAATTTTTTTTTCGCAAAACTTGTGCAATCCGTTTCCTTATGTCATAGGCTTTCCAAAAAGCTAAATTTTATCAAAATCTGACAAGTGAAAGTGGGTCAAAACAAAGATTTAGTTTGTTACAGGCAAAAGCAGTCATTCAGGCAGTGTGCCTGAGGACTCAGGCAGTTAGTATTAAAGCCCGGTTTTAGGCCTAAAGGGAGGGCTTTGGGTATGTAAGAAAAGTCAGAAAATTTCAACAGCCTCAGACCAATACTTTTTGAGTTATGTAAAAAAAACTACAGGGGGGGGGTCAAATTGACCCCCCCCCCAGCAGGAATAGGGTTAAAAAGTCCTAAAATCTTTTTGAATTATAGAAAAGATGACATTATATGTTGCATCTTAATTCACCCAAAAGAGGCATGTGCATTTCGTATAAATCCAAATTTCTACTCTTTATATTACCGACCTCTTTGGTTACAAATAGTTACTATTGCAACTTCTTATTAATAGTTAGTCACAACTAGTAACTACTGTTTAATAGTTAGTTACCAGTTACTCCTTCACTACTAGTTACTATTGCAACTACTTATTAATAGTAGCAACTAGTAAATACTATTTAATAGTTAGTAACAACTAGTAACTACTATTTAATAGTTATACTACTAGTAGTAACTAAATCATGTGAATATGAATATGATAAAGTCCATGTTAATGATAACTTTATATTTGCATTATATGAAATAGATATATGATTGTATCGTGTTTTATTTCTGAATAATGTATTATTTTCGTCAGTATACCCTAATGAATAATAAATTAAAATGTACATTGTTTCCCCCCTTCTCCCCTCCCCTCCCATACCCCCCGGCCTTCCATCTCGCTGTTGACATTTAAAATGGAGCTACTGTCCTATTTTAGTTCTATTAGATCAATGCATGTTTATAATTTGTTTATTCTTTATCAAATAAAATCTCATTTAGTTGAAGCTTCTAATCTAAGGAACTTACCACACCCTGATGTCTTGGGTCTTTGATTTTTTAAACATTGTATTTTAATTAGGTTTTACATGTTTATTATTGCTTAGTATTAAAAACAGGTATCTATAAATTTATATTTATTTGAACTTTTGGTTTTTTGTTTAAAAGTCAGTTTGTGACAAAGAATTATAATGTAAAAATAGTTATTTCAGAGATGTACACATTTTTTGCACTGTAGTGTACTGTCTCTGGGCGGTAGGGTTTCCATTCGCAAAACTTTTGCGCAATTTTTGCGGAACGAAACGCAAAATTTTTCTTTCTTTGCGCATCAGTTTTGCGCGATGATGTCACAGCCTGACATGGAATCCATTTCACACAAAAAATCAATGAAATATTCTGTTTATAGGAAACGCATCTATTTCTGTTTAGCAACACCGCCGCCCAGAGAAAACTGGATTCAATATGTACGCAGAGAACAGTAATTAGCTTTCCTTTCCTTATTACCTTGGTTTGTGAAAAAAAATGGTACAGGTACATTTATATTTTTTATATTTCAAAAATAATCAGATTAATGCACAAGGAAATGCTGTCAAATTATTGCATGCATCCCAAATATTTCTGCAGTTTCACTTTAAAAAAAAGTTTTTTTAATAATCATTTCTTGAATGAGCCACTGAGCAATCTGCACAAATTGAGAAATTACATTTTTTTATTAGTAAAATAATCACAATTTTTGTATCACAATTGTCCCATGAGACAAAATAAATGCCTGGCAATTTTAATAATTTTTCTATTCAAATCGTGGACTGTAATAAACACACATAAAAAACAACTAAAATAGATTTTGGACCAAATTCACAGCTTTTATCTGTTCATTAAAAACTTTTATGTCTTCTTAAAACTTTGTTTTTCTTAAGATTATTGCATAAAAACAATATAATTATGTGACAACATGAATAATTATAACTGTTTAATTGTTAGTATAAAATATTATGATTGGTACAATTCATCAGCAGAAAACTAAAATTCTAGTCATCTTTAATCTTTCTTTTTTTTAAGAAATTGCGCAAAGGATGTTTACGACTTTTAAAAGTCATGAATTGTTAAAATTTTCAGGTTACATTTTTATGAATTTTTAAGTTACAAATCACAAAATCTTGAATTCTTTATAACATTTTGTTTCTGGTTCTTTTAATAATTGGCAGCCATTTCATTTAAAAATCGGCTTTTGTCATTTATCATGGTTCCATGTGATCATCTTCAGTGTCCTTTCATATTCTGAAATAGAAATGTTTGACATTTAAAAAAAAAATATTTTAAAATGTTTAAAACATTCTTATTGGGATTTTATTACTACTAAAAATAGATATTTTAGTTCTATATAAAAATAACAGGAACAACAAGAGCGATTGCAAGAAAAACAATCAATTCATATTATTCCAGGCGATAATGGTAATTTTCGGTTCTGTACAATTCTATCTATTCAAATTGTATCTATTAAAAGTCTAGTTTTGAGTCCAATCCCTTTAGTCTTAAGTCTAAGCCCCCCATTGCTTTGAACTTTTGTGAGCTTAGTCGACTTTGATTGGTTTTAACTTCATGCTTAATACGTAATCCGTTTTTGAAAAGAAAATTCGTCTTTGTCATAAACTCAAAATTTCTAATCTCTATATCTTTGCAACCTGATGGCGTAATCCTTTGATATTTGATATCTAAGGTCTACAACATTTGTTTGAGAAGATGTAAGATTTAGAAAATAAGATTTTGTTGCAAAGAGTAATTTCCCTTTGAATGAATAGTTATTGAAACTAATTTAAGACTTGAGATTTAGGATTCAGATTGCAACTAATTTTCAACATGGTAAAGTTTATTAAAACAGTGTAATGTTGTATTTGGGGAATTTTCATGGCTGGAATTGGTGGATTCCGGGATTTGATTATAGAATAAGACTCACTCAACATTGAGACTAATTCTCAACTAAAACTAACCAAGGTCGGTTTTATTTTCATTGGGCCTAAATCCTTAAGTCGAGTATAACAGGGAACATCTGTGGATCATGTGACACAAACTGTGGTAAGCTGATTCATAAGCTGGGTCTAAGATTGAGCCTTAAACCCGGGTTTAAGGAATATAAGACTTGAGCTAATTCTTTGAAATCGCCGACTGATGATTTAAAAGATTACCAAAGGAGAATTTAGATCGTCAACTGTCAGATCAAGTTCATCATGCTTTCTTTTTTCTCTCCTGAACAAAAATAAATTTTTTAAGTGATATATTTAATACTATAGTTGGATTGCTTGACGTTGTTCAGGTGTTTATTATTAGTCTTAGTTACTCCCGCCATTTTCCCGCATTTGGTATCAAATTATGGTTTTTGCTGTATACTTGGCACCTTGATTAATTTTTTTTTTAAATTTGTTTAACTTATGTAAACACTTTATTTGAGCAAAACGCCGCACTTTAAATTTCAAAATAATGTGACGAAAGTCGCTTATATTCAACAAAGAGTCGCTTTTTTTGGCAGTCATCCAAGTTTTGCTGCCAAATAAGCGATTTTTGGTTTAAAATTAGTTAATTTTGTATTTCTAATTTAATGAGTTGTTTCGCTTTCCAAAATATTTAACCCTGGTAATCAATTTTTAATCAATCAACAGTTAACAATTATTGTCTTCTAATAACAACTGCCGAAAGCTTGGACATGATAAATTAATTAAAGTAATAAAATATGAAAAAAGCTGTAAATTATTAAACTATGTGCGTCATAAAGTACCAGAATATGGAACAAAATGAATGTTAAAATTGATAAGCTTTCTACAATGAAATAATGTGGTTAGATGTTAAATCTTTTTTTTTGGGCTGACAAAGATATAATTGGTTGGCCATAAAGGTTCGGTAATTAAAGATTTGGAAATATGAGAAGGCAGATTTTTTTTGTGTTGCTATGCATGGGTATTGAACCGCTGAATACTTGTCCGTTTTCTATATTATCATCATTGTTGAAGTTATAGAAAAAAGCTAGTTTTTTTACTCTAACCATTGTCTTTCCAAAAAAACTTGGTTTGCTTAAAATAAGACTGTATTTTCATACAAATCTTGATTTGAGGAAAACTCTGAATGCATTTAAAACTGATAAAGAAGAAATTCGTAAATATTTTTTTAAAAACCTAAAACCTAATCGGCCAAATGGATTTGAGCATTTTTATTAAAAAAGTGACCAATCATTGGTCATTGCCCATAAACTTAGCCGTATAAAGAATCTTTCATTAAAAACTTTTTATCTATAGCAAAATCAGTTAATATATATAAATACTTTGCTTGTCTGTCTGTTTGTTTGTTTGTATCCAATAAACATCAAAAGAACTGAACTGATCTGGCCCAAATTTTGTGTGGGACCTCACATGATCCCAGGGAAGGTTTATGAATATTCAAAATTTCAAAAATTAGCCTTAAACAAAATTTATTTGTCGATTTTTTTTAATAAATCTGCGACCCTTTTTTGAATACAAAAGGAAAATGTTTACAACTAAAATAGAACAGCCTAGTAGAAATATATTATGAAAGGTCTCAGACATTAGATTGCAAAGATATGGGGATTATAAATTAGAGTTGAGTCTAGTACCTGGCTGAGTGTGTATTTGTGTAGAAAATTAGGTCCCCAGATTTAGGACTTTTTCCTGAACTATTCCTAAACATTACACGAGACCTCTTATCAATCCTGAACATTACACGAGACCTCTTATCAATCCTAAACATTACACAAAACCTCTTATTAATCCTAAACAGTACACGAGACCTCTTATTCATTCTAAACATTACACGAGACCTCTTATT